CAATTCCCCCCCTCATGGACGCATGCCCTGCGACGCATGACGCGAGAAGAGAAATATGAGCAGAAACGAGAAACACCGGAATCCATCCTCGTCGACTCCTCCTTGTTCCTACTGGCACAATGAGGGTTTGATGGCGCTGCGGCAACAGAACTGACAAATGCGTAGTTTCGTTCGTCATCGTCCTCGCGCAACTGGACATGGAGCTCGCCAGTGTCTCCAGTGTGCGCTACCGTTGCCGTCCTGGGCTTGCCCTTGCATTCAAGGTCCCCGGACCAGTGGCCTGTTTCGTGGCAGGTCTTGCATTTCGAGCGTTTCTTGATCTCCGGGAGCCGCTTCTTGCAATCTTCCAGGGGAGGTCTTCCCTTGCCGCCTCCCTTGGGCGACCAGCGTGTGCAAAGGTAACTCTTGCCTCCGCTCTGTCCTTTGCCTTTGCTCCTCCCTTTGGTGCTAAGGTTGGCTACCGGGCCCTCTTGGACCGCGTCAGAAGCTTCTTCCTCGGCATATCCGGCCCTGGCCATCTCGTCGACCACCTCGACATCGAGCTCGCTGCAATCCTGGACAGGAGCCTAGTACACATACGATCCCTCGTCGACGTAGGCGTGTTCATCGGCGTAGTCGTCCCAAGCCGTGTCGTCCCAGCCATGCTCTTGCGCATATCCGGACGCGTAGTGCATTTTGCCCTTGCCCTTCCTCCTGTTCTGGTAGCTGGGTCTGGGCTGCGTCCACGTCGATGAACTGGAGCCTTTACCAGACTCACCCTTGCCTTTTCGGCGGATTTGTATGCGGCCGTGCTGGAGGATCAAGACATCCTTGATCTTGCCGAAGGTTGTCACAATTCCTGCGGATGTCAACACCATCAAGTTCTCCGAAGGCGAGAGGCCTGCACGGTCCAAGAGAAGGGGTCCAAACATATCGTCGCTCGTCAAGGTCTTAGGCTCTAACTTGGAGACAAGTCTCCACGAGCGCTTCCTTCGGAAAATGTACGAGACCATAGACTCACCGTGCTGTCGAGACAGTGGTCCATATGGTCTCTGCCCCACATGGAACAGGATATTCGCTTCCTGCGCCTCTATGGGGAAGAGTGAAGTACGAATCGCCAGCACCAGCTGATCGATCCCACTCGGGGTCAGAAGCGCGTCCTTGCCGATATCCCTGGCAATATCGAATGCGTCACCTCTGAAGCCTTCTGCAACCTCGTTGTCAGCTGTGGTGGTCACGTGTTGCTGTGGTTCACCCGTCTCTTGATCCACTGGGGCTATGGTGGCATTCGTGCGTAGCTCTGTGCGCAATTCCCACTCGTGGAAATTGTTCACCGTGCCGTCGTAGATCTAAGAGCCACTCTTCGTCTCGGACCGCGTCAGTGCGTCGGCGCTCGGCCGATAACGAAGAGAAGAACGTGCCATGGCGCAAAGCTCAATTCTAGCGAAGGAAACCGCCAGTACGGAAAGTAAAATGAATTTGTGCGACGCTCTCTGATGAGACGTGCGCGCAGTGGTACGATACGGGGATCGTGTGGTAGCTCCGCTGCCAGTGCGATTATGGTGCGTTTTGGCGCAATGGCAGAAAAAGGGGCCCCTAGAGGTCAAACGGCGGCGAGTGGCGGCGAATGGTACATATACACACGTCACGCACGCACTATCCCACAGGGAAGAAGACGAACGACGACGACGAGGACAAAGACGAGGACGAAGACGACGACGACGAGGACGACGACGACGACGAAAACTACGACGAGGACGACGACGACCAAGTCGACGACGATGACAACGACGAGGACGACGACGGCGGCGTTGAGGACGACGACGACGAGGACGAGGACGACGTCGACGTCGACGACGGAAACGACGACGAGGACGACGACGACGACAAGGACGACGACGACGACGAGTACGAGGATGAGGACGAGAACGACGACGACGACGACGACGACGAGAACGAGGACGAGGACGACGTTGACGAGGACGTGGACAAGGACGAGGACGACGACGACGACGACGCAGACGCCGACGACGACGACGAGTGTCCACTGCGTCCGCCGATGCTCCTTCCCCTCGCCCTCCCGCCACTTATTGGGGCCTCCACGGGTGGGGGGCCCGCCGCCACGGGGACTCCCAGTCCGCAGGACGCGGGAGAGGCCGGCCCCGCTCTGGCCGATTCAGGGAAATCTGAAGAACCCTCCTCCTCCTCCTCTTCCTCCTCCTCCTCCTTCCATCCTGCTCCCCACTCGCTCCTCTCCGCTCTCCTCCTTCACCTCCCCCTCTACCTCCCCGTCCTCTCCCTCCCCCCGCTCCCCGCGCCCGCTGGCAGCACGGGCCGTCTGGCCCGAGCCGCGGCCGCGACCCCCTCCTTGGCAGGCCTTCTAGCTGGGCGGTGGGCGGCACGGATGCCGGCCGCCCGCCCGCCTGGGCCGGCGCGGCCGCTGGCCGCGCCGCCGCCGGCCGCCGCCCGCGTGCCCAAGAGGGCTTCCAGAAGAACCCAATGAAGCCGCCGCGGCGTGGGAGCACCAGTTAAAACAATCGGCACACTGTGCTCCCGCAGTTGCTACACTTTCCTGGTCAAAGCATCTCACCTGGCGATCGTTTCTGGTGGGCTGGTGGGGATATTTTTTTGGATCGCGAGCGCATCGGAAGTGCCGAGCGCCGCCAGACAGTCGTAACTACCAAGCTACGGCCTAAATTGCGCAGCCGGAAGGGAGAAAAGGGACGACGAGAAAACAGCGGAAGGAGAGAGAAACAGGAGGCGGTCCTCGCTGCCGCTCAGAAAAATGCGCCCTCGCCTGAGGGGGAGCCGCCAGCCGGGATGCATTGCCAAAATGGCGGGGGGGGAATTCAGGTTGAACGAGCTGGTGGGGACACTTTTTTTGGTCGCGGCCGCAAGCGAAAGCGCAGGCGGCGAGCAGTGTGTCTGGGCCAACAGGCAAGCCTAATTAGATGCAAGGCGCAGCGCGAGCCGGCCGGGCCAGCCCTCAGAGGCAGCAGCTGCGGCAGCGGCGGCGGGGGGCTGACTGGCTGAACTGCGACGCCCAGGGAAGCTCGAGCATCATGCAGACCTGTGGCAAAATGCCAAGGAATTCTCAACTGTGCGCCGCGGCGCCAGTCCCCCACGGTGTTGGTGCCATGCCGAGACAGACAGAGAGTGTCCTACACGCACAATCCGCACAAACACTGTAGCGAGAAAAGGCCAGGTATACACTGGTCATGTCTGGTGGGGACACGCGAAGTCCTGAAGAATTTGGCAGAATCCTGCGACCTCCGAGTCCCCCTCCAAAAGTCGGCATCTCTTCGGGCCGCACCTTCATCTCCGCCGAGCTCCCGCCTGCGGAGCAGCTTCCGCCGGCGGAGCCTGCCTCGTTTGCCCTCCGCCGCCCTCCCGCCGCAGAATAGGTGTCAACTCCTGCACGGTGAAGGAAGGCATCGGATAAGGAACCCTTGGATGAGAAATCCAGGGTCCGGAAGCCCGTGGAGCTTCAGTCGTGGATTGGCCGTGGATCCCACCGCTGCTCTCATCAGATAAGGAATCCTCCAGGGTCTGAGGCCTCCTGAGCACATTCCTTAACGCACGCCCCCACCGTGGCCGTCGAAGGCGAGGCTCTTTCTGGCATGTTCCGTTCGAGTGCAAGCAGAGCGCATCAACACAAACGCTCGGTGGTCCGCGCGGACTCTTGTGGGTCGGCGCTGGGCCCCTGGCGCTTCTCTCGGCGGTGGACAAACCTCCCTCTAACGGCCCAATTAGGACCGAAACCGACGGACCTGGACTCGCAAAAATGGCGGCCGCGACGCCCTCTCGCGGATCGAACACGGCCAATTCGCTAATCGACGTGTCAGGGTAGGAGGTCTATCAACCTCCGATTCTCTGGCGCCACCCCTGGAACGCTCCTGCGCCGGCCCAACAACTTCTCGCGGACCTTCGGCAGTATACGTCATGTGGCTTGTTGCCCCTCGGACTGCTGCGGAACCTTTTTGCGTCCGCATGAAGAGTCCCCCCCGTTTTTGCTTCCTTCTCTCTGACGCTACTGCGCTCAGCAACTCTCGGCCAGGACGCCTCGTGAGGGGCTTGCACGAAACAGCCGACCGTCTTGCGTGCTTTGCATGCTGCGCACAAAAAACGACTCACCCCGCAGAGGCACGCGGGCAACATTGTTGCGTTCCCCCCTTCGTTTTGCTTCCGCCAGTTTTCCGCCGAATAGGAGAAGATGCCAGCTCCCCGATGCCTCGTGGGAGGCCCCCCCTCTTCTGGAGCGCGGATGATGACGGCCCCTTCGTTTTGCTTTCACCAGCGCTAGCTCCCCGATGCCTCGAGGGAGGCCCGCCCCCCCCCCCTTCTGAAGCGCAATTTTCAAGGATGATGAAGAGGAGGAGGGGGCCGAGGCGTAGAAAGAGAGCGCAACAGGTCGGCATGAATAGCGCGGGAAACAAGCTTCTGCAGTTCTGCAGGGTGGCAAGTTCTGCTTCCGCTCCGGATCCCGACCCCCAGAGGCCCCTGGAGGCACGAAAAAAGGGCAGAACATGTTCAAGAACCGTCCGAAGAAGCTCGAACACCATCCTCAATCCTCGAGGATTGCCGAAGGCAAAACTCAGGACTGCAGGGGCCCCCCGCTCATCCCCCAACTCCTCTTGCGGAGAGGGGCGCCCCCCCCCCCGGGGGCCCACGCCGCCGCAGCCGGACTTCCCCCCCAGAATCCTGGCCGGGGCAAGCCCCTGGGAGATGTCCGCGGAGCAGGTTGGCTCGTCCTCGTCGTCGTCGTCGTCGTCGTCGTCCTCGTCCTCGTCGTCGTCGTCGTCGTCGTCGTCGTCGTCATCGTCGTCGTGAGAGGGACAAAAAAACGATACCGCTACTCACAGGACCGCTCCCGGGGTATACTCTGATCAGGATTGCGAATATGATCCAGCTGTGGCGACTAGGGGGAGGGCCCTCAGAGACGAGCAGCGGTATCGGTACTATCTCTTCCTCTTCTGAGTCACCGCCGCTGGCCGAGATCGGACAATTTTGCACCCCAGCTCCTCCATGGGAGAGGTGGCCTCCGCCGTCGCGTTCTCCGTCGCCTCTCTGGCGTGACAGAAGCGGGTGCTGCGGGAAACAGGTCATGTACTGACTACCTACCAGACCACCCCAACCCAACCCGAAGACCCGAATTTCGGGTTTGGGGGGGTAAGGGTTCAACACGTGTTTTTTCGATGTTTCCCGACCCCCCCCCACTGGAAGTGGAGGGCAAATCGGGGCCTTCGGGTTGGGTTGGGGTGGGTTGGTGGGTGGTGATGTACTGGACATCTGGAGCCTGCCCCTGGGACCAGCTCTTCATCCAGAGTCGTTTTTGACCAGCCCCAGGCCCAGGGTCGGGGGTGGACAGAGCCCCCTTTGGTCAAGCGTGGTTTCGTGAAAACGACCTCGGGCCCAAACCTGGCGGGCGCAGGCCTGGATAATGACGGCCGCGGGGCCCTCTCGAGAACCGAAAACGGACAATTCACGAATCAACGTGTCAGGGTGGGGATCTGTCCACCCCCGACAGGGGAGGCCTCGAGAACCCGAACACGGCGAGCGACCTCGGGACCCAGTTCCCTCAGGACCCATTTGGCTTCCTGGCGAGCCTCTGCGGTCGCGCTCTCCGCCGTGCGCACCGCGATTGCCTCGCCGTTGACGGCGGGCAGGTCCTCTGCAGGGCTGAACCTAAACGGTGTTTTTCGTTTTCGTTCTGTTTTCGTTTTCCCCCGTTGTGTCTCCAATCCGCCTTTACGGCAAAACGTAATCCAAACGACAACGGCCCACGAAATCGCCAAAACACCGTTTAGGTCAACCACTGGTCCTCTGGGTCGACGCCCACCACGGGCTCCGGGGCCTTCGCGACGGCGGCGTCCTCCGCCGCGATGGGGCGAGCGACGGCAGAGGGAGGGAGGGTCGGCGGAGAGACGAGGGGACGAAGGCAGACGAGGAGGAACAGGAACAAAAAGGAAGAGGAGAAGGAGGAAGAGGAGGAAAGAAGACGAGGTTGAGGAGGAGGCGGCGAAGGAGGAGGAGGAGGAGGAGGAGGGGGAGGAGGAGGGGAGGGAGGGTGCCGGCGAAAGGACGGAGGGAAAGCGGGAGGTGGCGGCGGGGCGGGGCGGGGCGTCGGGGGGAGGGGGCAGGGGAGGCGGAGGGAGCGAGGGGGGGGGGGGCAGCCGAGGGCGGGAGGACGGGGGAGCGAGGGAGCGAGCGAGAGCACTCGCGATGCGAGTCGAAACCACGCGAGGGAGCGAGGAGGGGAGGGGACGGGGGGCGAGGCGGCCCTCCGGGGCGGAGGCGTTCTCGGCGGCGGCGCCCTCCGCGGCCGCGGCGGCCTCGGCGCTCTCGGAGCCCTCGGCGCTCTCGGAGCCCTCGGGGGCCGCGGTACTCTCGATGACCGTGCTCTCGTTGGCGTCCTCCTCGTCGGCGGCGCGCCGCCGACGCCGACGCCGACGCCGCAGCCGCCGCCGCCGACGACGACGACGCGGGCAGGATGGCGAGGGGGGGGTGGATGGTATGAGGACAGGGGGAGGGAGCAGGAGGAGCAGGAAGGGGAGCAGGAGGAGCAGGAGGAGGGGAGGGTGGGAGGGATCAGAAGGACGAAGGATGTGGAAGGAGCAGGCGGAGGGGAACGGGGGAGGGGGAGGGAGGACGAGGAGGCGCTCTGTTGGGGTGGAGGCGCCCTCTGCCTGTGCGGCGCGCCCAGGGTGCGGGGGGCAATGGCCCGAGGCTCCGGTAGTCGAAGCTCGAGGCCCGAGGCTTTTGAAAGTATGCTGGTGGCGTGCGGAAGTTCGAGGGCACACGTTTTGGGGGAGCTCTCTCCCCATCTCCCACGACGGGGTTCTTGTCTTTGCGCAGACGCCTCCGGACCTCTTGCTTCCTTCTCCTCCTTCTCCTCCGCTTCCTCCTCTTCACTTTCATATCACACAGATACGCACACTCGGATCACTCACGCCCATCAAAGCATCCATCGCAAACCTACTCTTCTTCACGGGGTCCATCACAGACCCACTCCTCCTCACGCAGACTCAGCCACATCACACTAAGACTCACTCAGACTCAGACTCAATTAGGCGCACCCAGACCCACTCAGGACATTCACCTCAACCACACTCTCACTCATACACATTCAAGCTCTCTCACTTCGACACACTCTGCCTCACCAAGATTGTTAGTCCACTCCTCACCACGACAAAGCGTGCGTGGCATTTGGGCACCCCTAGGAGGAGCCGCCAGGAGTGAGAACAGTTCAAATTTCGCGCCCAGGTTGTCGGGATGTCTCAAGCGGTTTGCTTATTTCTGGCCTACAGACTATCTCTTTTGATGGTCCAATCTCACCGCAGTAATGCAGGCGTGGCATTCGGGCACCCCGAAGGGGAATCGCCATCGGTGGTGCCACTCCAGGATTCGCGCTCATGTTGTGGGGCTGCCTCAGGTGGTTTGCGTGTTTCTGCCCCCCCTCATGCTTTCTCGCTCTTGGTGGTCGAGAGCTCACCGGCGATATAGGAGGCGTGGTTTTTTTGGGCACCCCAGAGGGGGAGCTGCCAAAGGTGAGGCCTCTCCAAGCTCTGCGCTCAGATTGTGGGGATGCTTCAGGTGGTTTGCCCGTTTTTACCCCCAAGATTTTTCGCTCTAGGTGGTCCAGTGCCCACCGCGTTTAGCAGGCGTGGTGTTTGGACATCCCATAGGGGGAGCCGCCAAGGGTGAGAGCTCTCCTGGATTCGCGATCAGACTGCGGGTCTGTCTCAAGCGGTTTGCCTGATTCTGCCCCCTCACCGCGATATAGCAGGCGTGGCATTCGGGCGCCCCAGGGGGGAGCCGCCAGGAGAAAGGGCTGTCCAGGATTCGCGTTCAGATGTTATGGATTCCTCAAGCAGCCTGCGTGTTTCAGCCCCCATCACTCTTGGTGGTCCTGTATTCAACGCGATATATCAGGCGTGGCACTTGGACACCCAAGCGGGGAGCCGCCAAGGATGAGGACTCTCCAAGATTCGCGTGGGGATGCGTCAGCGGTTTGCCTGCTCCTGCCTCCCATGTTTTGGGCTGTGCCTACCGCGATATAGCAGCCGTGGCACCCGGGATCCCCAAGGGGGAGCAACAATCGGTGAGGGCACTCTAGGATTGGATTCGCGCTACATTGTGGGGGTGTCAGGAACGGTTTCCCTGCTTCTGCACACCATATTGTTATTCCTTTGGTGGTCTAGTGCTCACCGCGATATAATTGGCGTGGTTTTTAGGCATGCCGAGGGGGAGCTGGCGGAAGTGAGGACACCCCAAGATTCTCGCTCAAATCGTGGGGATGCCTGTAGCAGTTTACCTGCTTCTGCACCCCAGAGTTGTCGTTGTTGTTGGTCCAGTGCCCACCGTGCCATAGAATGCGTGGCACTTGGGCACCCCCAGGGGGACCCGCCAGCAGTGAGGACACTGCAGGACTCGCGCTCAGTTTGTGGTGACGCCTCAGGCGGTTTGTCAATTTTTCCCCGACGAACGTCTCTTTGGACTTGTGTGCTCTTCACCCAGTCGCTCATTCACTCACCTCCTGCCTTCTTCCCCTACCCACACGCACTCGTTCGCAATCGGACGTGCGAATCAGCACATCTTCTTCGCTCAAACTCACTCGTCACATTCAGACTCGATTATAACCTGGTCAAACCGTACCCACCCGCTCGTACTCATTGTCGCTCAAAGCCCGACCCACTCACACTCGGAATCACCCACCGTCAGACTCACTTCTACTCAGACTACCTCATACCCGAGCTCACTAATGTTCAGAGTTGTCTTCGGCACAGTCAAACCTCATACTCACCCACATTCAGACTCGCTGATGCTCATACCCACTCGCACTTAGATTCGCTCACACCAGACTCGTCCATACTCAGACCCACTCGCATTCAGAATGATACCATGAAAACTCTTTCACACCCGCGATCAATCAAAACCGGATCCACTCACGCTCCGAGTCGCTCACGCTCAACTCACCCACGCTCAGATTCACTCACAATCAGACCCCCGCACAAGTGGATACCGCGATATAACCGACGTGGCGCTTGGCCACCTCAAGTGTCAGCAGTCGCCGCGAGTAGCACGCCAGAAAGCGAGTGTAGCAACGCCATTGCGCTTTTGCCTGACTTGCGCGCTTGCCTGAAGTACCCCTCGCTCTTCCACTTATGCTTCCCTCGCCTCTCCTGACAATGCCCAGAGAACGAAGAGGATGAGGAGGAAGAGGAGGAGGAGGAGGAGGAAGAGGAGGAGGACATCATTGAAGTCGTCGCTGTAGTCGTCGTCGTCGTTGCCGCGCCTGTCGTATACGCGGACTTCCCCTCACACCCAGAGGCTCATAGACAAAATTCCTCGGCAAGACGTGACAAGCGTATGATATGCACATATGGGGATCTCCGCGTCAAGTAATTGGTGGGCGGTCGGCGGATTGAGGATCACGGTTCGGTGTTGTTGGGCGCTCGGGAAGCTCCAGGGGCCTCTGCGGACTCGGTGGAAGCCTTCAGGGACATCCAGATACCGCTGGGAACCAGACACGGAGGACGAGGAGGAGGAGGATGAGGAGGAGCTGGAGCGTACCATAGGAGGAGGAGGAGGAGAAGGAGGAGGAGGAGGAGGAGGAGGAGGAGGAGGAGGATAGAGGAGAGGGAGGAGAGGAAAAGGAGGAGGAGGGAGGAGGAGGGAGGAGGAGGAGGAGGAGGAGGAGGAGGAGGAGGAGGAGGAGGAGGAGTTGGAGCGTCACAGAGGAGGAGGAGGAGGAAGAGGAGGAGGAGGAGGAGGAGGAGGACGAGGAGGAGAAGGAGGAGGAGGAGGAGGAGCAGGAGGAGGAGGAAGAGGAGGAGAACGATCAGGAGAATGGGGATGAGGATCGAGGGTTGATTTTTGTTTGGTGCTTCTCGCTTGGGGGACGCCTCTGGGGGCCTCTCGCCACACCACGGCCAGATTGTCCTCAACGTTATTGCCAAACCGCATCTTGGGATCGAATTCGGGGTCGATGTTGTAACGGCGGCGCGTCGTCGGTGTCGTC